ACACTTAAGTATCAATAACATTGAATAAGAAAAACAAAATTTACTTTAAAAAAAAATAAAAATCCACGGCCCGCTAACAACCCGCTAACAGCCCGTGAACAACCCGTTAACAACCCTCTAAGCCCGAACCCGGACGGACAAAAAAAAATCCGAAAAAGTACAGCCCGCTAACGCAGCCCGCTAACAACCCGCAACGTTAAACAGACGGGCTGATTTTTTTTGTCCAGCCCGTCCCAACCCGCCCGTTAAACACCCCTAGGGTAAATACATATATTTTCCTTCTTTTGAAACAATAGTAGTTTATATACCTAATTCCTCGTGAGACTAAGAAAATATAATATGGGATTTGATTCTAAGTTAGAAGAGGAGGTTAGGGAACTGAGAAAAATCTATAAGCCTTTTCATAAATTAAGCGGGTATATTATATGAATAGGCTAAAAAGTTATAGATTATGGACTAGTCGAGTTACTCATAGTATAAGTAAATATAATTTGACAAATTGATGGTCAAACATGAACCTCATAGGGTTAATATATATTTTAAATTAGTTATGAATTAGTTTAAACTAGAAAATTGACACGAGATTGATATGATGTGATTATAGATTGATCGGAGGAAGTTATACGGATTGCTCGAGATGAAGTATTTGGTATTTCAATATGAGTACTGTGAGTAGTAATCTTACCGGGATTTGTGTTTTCATAACCTGCATGACTTATACATTATTTTGAAAATAAAATGTGTTACCGAATGTTTGAAATTGCATGTGGGACAAGTCCTTTACTTGATATGGTACTGAATAGTTTACTTGAGATGTTTACAGTTATTTAAAATGTTCTCACTGTTACGAGACATGTTTTACTGTTACTTTAGATACGATTTTACCATTACCGAAATTGGATTACATGATTTGATAAGAATTGAAATGCCCTATACTATTTTGAAAATGCTTTCATGTGAATATTTGCTGTTACAAAGAAAAATATAAATGAGAGAAGACTTTAAAAGATCCCGTAGCTAACATCGGGTTCGTTAGATCGACCTGGTGTTTTTCACTCGAGTAGGGACCTACAATTATATTTGACTCCTTTTACGAAGTGGTACACACAGTGATACAGATTACATGATCCTTTTCTCGAAACCTCCCAAATATAAAGATTTGCTATGACACAGTAGTTACCGAGTTTATTATCGATTTGTTAAATTGATTTCTGTTACAGGAAGCACATGAATAGACTGATTATATTTACCGTTTTTGATAGGGCATTTTATTTTTATGGTAGTTCTGATTATTATTATTCAAGCATATTTTCTGACTTGTCCCCAATTAAAAACGGTTGTGGTTAAGTGTTATTACTCATTGAGCTAGCAACTCACTCCCCGCTATTTTTTTCAGAGACAACAATTGGCGCACGCGATGATTTCGTTAATTAGAGCGCACATGTTGATAGTTCTTGGTGAGCTTCGCACTTATTCGCGTGGGTGGAGATTTTATTTATTGTTATGGTCTTTCTTTGAACTCTTAAAGTCGCTCCATAGTCATTCTTTTAGTGTCACGAGTATTCTTTCGTTATTATAGACTTATGATAAGTATTGCACTTTCTTATACGATTTGGAGATAAATTAGTATTTTTGGTTGTTAGTGGGTTGATTAGTAATGGTGGAGACTTGTTTTGGTTAATTGATAAGTTGTTGATCGTTAAGGTTGATATTAGGATGATTGGTTGTTGATTTTGAGACAGGGAATATTTTTGGATAGTCCAAAAAAACAAAAAAAACTCTGTCCGTTTTTCTGTAAAATACCGGTAAGGTTTTTTTGGAAGCACTTACTCCTAAACGCCGGTCTCGATCCTAATTGGGTCGTAACAAAAATACAAGTTTTATTATGAGAAAGAAAAAGAAGAATATTAATATGCTATTGTACTGTGGTGGAGTGATTTGAATCAAATTGTTTGTCTAGAGAGGGTGTAGCAATAACCAAAGTGGACTCTACTAGAATGTCAAGATTAGAATGTAAATCAACTATTAGTCACCACGAATCACATTGGCTAAATAATACTCTATTTTTTTTTAAAAAAATAGAGTATTTTATTTTCTTTACCTATAATTTAAATATGTCATATGTGACATAACTTATTTGAAATTTAGTTAAAATTCATTTAAGACATTTTAGTCTAATTATGAAGTTGTTATAACAAATTACTCCAATTTATAATTCAGTTAGGTACTGACTCTATCTGGTGCAAATTGAGCAAAAGGAAAGAGTCGGTCTAATAAAATATAAATTGTCTTTACTAATATTAACAATCAAACGAGTTTAAATTTGCAAGTTTTTTGGCTATAGGTAATCATTTTAATATTTTATAAAGTATAATAAATAGACTACTGGAGATTATAGTCGCCCAAAATAAATGTGAAAGAATAAACTCTGCCACTTAGTGCACATTGCACAATATTTTAAAAAATACATCCCATATATGCTTCTTCAAATATCTGAATAATACAATTCTATTAGTTTTTATTACTAAGCTCAGCAACATCTGCAAGATTTACCATAAGCAACGATTTCTGTAGTGTGTTTCACTACTTCGTGAATATTGCAGAGAGGATTATTATCGTTAGATATAGTACATTAAATCATTACTTTCACCTTTCTTGAAATTATTTTATTCTACAAAAAAGTATTTACTTTTGTAATTTGCGTGGTAACCTTCATTTTTTAAACTTTAGGCATTCTTAGATCCACTTGATCACTCTTGATCTGGAGCAGCTGCAGGAAAATTCAAGTCCAGTTGTTCTTTTTCTGAAGTGAAAAACTTAGATATATTTTTCTTGGAACCTTCTGATTGATCTGAATAAGTTTTCAATTTGCTGCCTCCTTCTTTCGTTTGAAGCTCAATCCAGCTTGTAGTTGCATCAGCTTGCATTTCCTGTCTTACAATTTCTTCAGCTTCTAAGTTCTCTTTTTGTTCTGCCTCATTTGTTATCTGTTTTTATAGGCCCGAATTGTGAGAAAAAGGTAATCATATGTAAATAAACTACATGATACTATGAATATCTTTATATTGCCGTGCATATAATATAACTTCAACGCTTTGAAGGATGAATATCCGAAATTCGACAGATTGTACAGACCTCAAGTGACATATTAGATCTTCCTTGCATATCAATCTCCGTGTTTAATGTTTTTCTGATCATCTGCATTTCTCTCCATTTTGTGTTAAATAACATTTTAGAATTGCCATTAATTCAAGACAGTAAACAGAGATTTAATAAACTCATGCTGTCCACTTACCCTTTATCATGCAACATATGTACAGCAGCTTCATTCTTTTCACTTCTCTTAACTGCTCAAAATTTCCAGAGAAACAAGGAGGACAGAACCTCTAAAAATTAATTGTACCTTTTTATATATATGTACCAAAAGAATTCAATACTGTCCATATATATAAGTTATTAAAAACTTGCCTTTACTAGTTTTAGGGGTGCTGATGATGTCTTTACTCTGTCTGTACTTCTGAAAACAGCATGAACTCAAATATTAGTTAAGTGTTGGATTACCTCATCGTAACAAAAAATGCAAGAGTACTTGAAACTTGTATAAACTTGCTGTTGAAGACATCATTAAGTAAATAAAAATGTGCTCTCGCTAACATGAGCTTAAGCTTTTAGATGAGATGATCACACTTCAACAATATGTTATCAGAGCACCCTGGGTTCGAGTCTCAGAGTACCTGGAGATGGCTTTTGATATGGCCTGAAGTGATATCATCATCATCCATGAGTTTCATTATATTCTTCGGAGTTGCTTCTGCTCATTCAAAAAATTTAAAACATCTATGTTTATTTCTATTGTAATATGCATACCAAATATATTATGTTCATCGCGTAGTGTTTATAGTAAGACAGACCAAATGGACCTCCTAATTCATTCACTGCTTCGACAAAGTGATCATGGTGCTTTACAGTCCACCTAAACCTTGGTTTTCTGTTCAGATCATGACTTGGGACGACAGGTTTTTCAGATGTTTCTTCACCCTTTTGCTCCTTGCCGCTTTCCCCCATATTCTCCGGGTTGTACGTAGTTGCACTCAGAGGCTGATATATACTGATACTACGAGTTCAACTGAAATCATTGCTTTATTGCTCGATCCTACACAACAACAATAACTATCTTAGTATAATTCCACAAGTGGGGTATGAGCTCGATCTTACACACACGTACAGAAAGAATGTTAGTAGTAAGTATTATAACTATACAATAGATTAGCTAGGATATTCTGAACTCATTAAAATTTGAGTTCACCTTTAGTTGCAATGTGGATAATTATATTGTTTAAAGAAAATCAACTAAAACCAGAAAATTGTTAAAGAAAAATACTCAGAGATATTTGAATAGTAGAAACTGCATGCTAGCCTTAATGCAGCTCGTTATATGGAGTGCTACTCCATAGAAATTTCCTAGCTCACCAACCTCATCTCTTTGCTCTAGTTTTCCTATCCTAGCACTCTTCTTATAATAGCAATTCTGGAATCAGATGACTCCCCATTTGTGGTCCTGCCGCTCTGTAAGTAGCTGTTCTGCTGTTAATACGAATTGTATTTAACTTCTATTTAGTAAATTTTGCAATGTCAGGTCACCTAAAAAGATATTATACTTAAGTTCAAGAAAAAAGATTAGTAACATGAGAAATAAGACAGTTATTACCATCTACAACAAGTTGAAATACACTAATAGTAAATGTCATACATTTTTTGTTCCCCGCCTAATGTTCGGCAACCGCGTTACAGCCAAACTAATCTGGATACATGTTGCGTAAGATCTACGGGGAAGGTTTCTCTGTCATTCCTAGAACTCGAACCCGAGACCTCTAGATCTTAGGATGAAGGGATCATATACGACTCACCATGGTTGTGCTAAGTCAAATCATAGTAATTAAGCTTTGAGTCGAGAAAACTACTATAAGCAGTGTAGTGAAGATACTATATTTGGCACTAAAGTTCTCAAAATTACTATCTTGTCTTTGCTATAAAAAAGATACCGGGACTGCAAGTGCATGCAGCCTGCAATTGAAAGAGATGTATATGTCCCCATTATTTTTGCTAGGGAAACACAACAGAAGAGTTACAATACTACAGTATCTATCGATCTAATCAATGTTATCATTTACAATATTTGTTTCGACGATCAGGGATGTCAAATTTAGCGTAGCTATTAGGGTTTAGTTTGGCCGGGAAATAAGTTATTTTATGATTAATTTTTTCGGAATTAGTTATCCGGGTATTAATTATCCCACCATCCCATAGGAATAAAAAAATACTACAATCCATGGATAACTAATTCCGGAATTAATTATACCACGATGTTATTCCAACCAAACGTGGGATAAACTGATCTCAAATTTAGTCTCGGAACTAATTATCCCTTATCCCTTGTACCAAACGAGCCCTTAGAATATAATATAGTTTAAGTGTATTTGGTTGTGCATATATTCCCTCCCCGCACAAGTAATTAACTCAAATAGTCGTCTCCCAACTGTTTAAACTAAAAATAATCGGTTGACTTATAAGATATGTATAATCCATAAATAATATGTGGATAGCTATGTATAATCAGTATCTAATTTATATATACCGGTTAGAAAAAGTAACAGTAAATACACAGTAGAGGTTGTGAGTTCGAGTCACACCAAGAGCAAGGTGGAGAATTCTTGGAGGGAGAGATGTCGAGGATCTATTGGAAACAACCTCTCTATCCCAGGGTAGGGGTTAAGGACTGTGTACACATTATCCTTCCCAAACCCCACTGGTGAAATTATAATTTCACCGAGTTATTGTTGTTGTTATTAGTGTAAAAATATATATATGGTGCTTGCGTGAGTTAGGTTATACTAGCACATTATTTAGTTCAAATTGACCCGCAAGTATACAGGTCATATTGAGGACAAGCCTCCACATACCATCACCATGCATTGAAAATCGCCGTATCTTTTTCTTAGCTCTGAGTCTCTGACTCCTATATTCTTTTTGGTTCACTAAGCTGTGTAGCCTTCTAAAGCTTTCCAGTTGTAAAAAGTTCGAGAATAAGTACATCACTTTTCTAAGAGGAATTTGTTTTTTGGGTGCCGTCAAATAAAAATAGGTGATCTTTTATCTTTGGGTTTAAGTTATACGCGCGCCAAATCCATGAGAGAATCCTTTAAAGCCAATCCAGAGATAGATAGAGATCGAACGAATTGCTAACTTTCCCATCGGAATAAAGTGCGATAAAGGTAGAATTTCCCGATTTGAGTTGATAGTGTAATAAATCTTTACTTCATCGGAGGAGTAGTTAAATCTACTATATGCTTTTCTACGGATACCATATTATAATTACTTTTAAAAATTACAATTCCTGAACATGCAATTTAACTCAATAGTGTAAAAAATGATATAAAATCATTGCACAAAACGATACTCTCTATTTTTTTCGTATAAATGGCACCAGATAGCCACTTTAAAGGGTTGCTATTTAGAAATTAGCCAGTAAGTCCTGAATTTTAGTTTTTCAGTTTAATTTTTCGGGACAAAAGTATCCCGAAGTTAAGATTTTTAATTTAAAATTTCAGGATAAAATAAATACTGACTAATCTCTAAAAAGCATCACTGAGAATGACTATAAGCCCTTTTATTTTCTTGCATATTCATTATCTTCTTGGCCTTGTCATTCTTTGAAGGGAAAAGGGCCAAATATACCCCTCTACTTTCATATATTGTCTTCATTTAACCCCCGTTATACTATCGGGTCAAATTTACCCCTACAATCAGCAAATTTATAAAAATACCCCTTGATCGGTTAAGTAATCCAAAATTTTCCAAATTCCTTTTATTTAAATCACTTGTTGTTCTTCTTGGTCCACTATTTCAATTTTAAAAATTATTATTGATGTGAATGCTAAAGTTACTAGACTATACAAATTATTCATAATTTTTTAATTACCAATGCACCCATTTTTCTTTTTGTAATAAATAAAATTGGTTTAAAATTTTATTTATTTTTCAATCATATACACATCGTAGAATTTAGTGAGTCTATTTAATATGTATTATATGCAGCTGATCATCATGTACGTACATGTATATTCAAATATATTTTATCATTGCTTGTTTAGTATAGAGTTCGACCGACTAACTTAAGAGTCCAAAATGTATAAACATTTAATTAAACTAAAGTTGAATTAGACAATATAAAGTCTCCGAGTAACTTCAACTTCAATCACTAATACTTGCAAAGTCTTCATACATTTGGTGCAACGAATTCATTAAAATTGGGATATTGTAAATACTTTTAGAATTTAGAAAAGCTACCTACTTTAGATTTTTCAATTTACTATACTTTGTTTATTCAGTTGTATTATTTAATATTTTTTTCTCTAATTCAGAAAGCAGGTAAATGCCAATTATTTCAAAAATAGTGAACCAAGAAGAACAAAAAGTGATTTAAGTAAAAGAAATTTGAGAGATTTTGGATTACTTAACAAATCAAGGGGTATTTTTAAAAATTTGCTGATTGTAGGGGTAAATTTGACTCGATAATATAACGGTAGGTGTACATTTGACCCGATAATATAACGAAAATTAAATATAGACAATATATAAAAGTAGAGGGATATATTTGGCCTTTTTCCTTCTTTAAAAGTGCTTGCTTTATCTTTTCCTTTTCTCCTTTATAGCTAACTTCAATGCTTCCTAATATAGGCACTTCCTCTATATATGCACAAATTTTTATTTCAGCAGCTTACTTTCCTATGGTATAAATCAAACCATCCAATATGGTTGTGTGCTCAAATCTGACCGTCTAATTTTGTAGTGAATCTTGAAAATAATGTACTGCTACTTTATTGGTTCTTTATCCCTTTTCCCTTAGAGAATCTGATGCAGTCACAAGTACTAACCAATAAACTAGCACTACGTGACATCTGCTTTTGTTCTTAGGATGAGATTCTTACAAAATATCTCCCAAGAAACAAAATATCTGCTCTCTTTAATCCAGAACTCTTCTACTATACTAAGTATTACTCACATATAATAGCGTTGCAATTGTTCGGTTTAGAAAAGAAAGACGTAGAAAATATCTAAACTATCACGTTAAGAGCAAATAAAGGCAAGATATTTGTCTACTTTTAAACATATTCATGTATCGGTGGAAAAAGGCATGACACGTAACCATCAGTGAGGTGACATGCGAACTTTTCGTTGAGTCAATAAAAAAATAAATGAAAGGGCACAGAGAAGAGACACCGATTCTGAATAAAGACTGAAAAAGAGAAAAATTCACGATTTTGTTATAAATATCGGCATTAACTTTGATTACGAGCGATCTTCAGTTCAAAGTTCATAAAATCTGTCCACTCTTTTCATCTTAATAGTTCCTGGCCCATTTCTCCATTAGCCAGAAGTTGGCCATTTCTTTAAAATAGATAGAGTTTGTCCAACATTAATTTGTCTTGTTTTCCCTAAAAAGATAAAATAAAAAATTAGACTTTTTGTCACTAATTAAATAATTTAATCACCTTTAATAATTAATGTAGAGTAAGTGGTCCAATGTTGGCATATATATATATATATATATATATATATATATATTTGCTTATGTGTGTACGTGTGTGTGTGTGAGAGAGAGAGATATATTAGTAGTTTAGGCAATTCTGTTAGGCCCATTTTATTGTGAACCAACAAGGCAACCCATAAGCAAATAAGGTGGCCAAATGCCTTGAAAAGCCAATAAGCAAGACAGGACCTAAGTTTTCAAGCGTTGATTCTTTTTACCAACTCCAATAACAATACAACAATAATAATAAACCAGTATAATCCTATTAGTGGAGTCTGGAGAGGGTAATGTGTATGCAGACCTTATCCCTACCCTGAGATAGATAGGTTATTTCCGATAGACCATCGGCTCCCTCCCTCCAAGAACTCCCACTCTCGAACTCACAACCTCTTGGTTGGAAGTGAAGGGTGCTACCACTAGAGCAATTTGATAATTATGATTTAATCACTCATAGTTTTCTTTCTTAATAATATAAAACGTTAGGCAATTTTAGACGCGTCTTTAAATGTAGACCATGTGTTCTTGCATGATCCTTGGTCAATATCAATTAATAAACGGCCATGAGTGCATTCCCAGCTCCTTGACTTGCTAACAATAAACCATGTTTGACCACGTGTTCATACTTGTTCCTTGGTTAAATGCACATCATCAAATAAAGACCTTGTGTGCTTACCCGTTCCTTGGCCAAAATTATTAAAATTTAATTATTAATTCTTAAGTGACAATATATGATAGTAATTTAAGGTAAATACCACATAATTTATCCAAACTAATTCAAGCCATTATTAGTCAATAAAAATGACCGTGCTAGAACTACGGGACTCGGGGAATTATTTATACCTTCTACCCGGTCAACATAATTTCTTACCCGAACTTTATTTTCGCAAACCAAATAATAATAGAGTCAAACCTTCATTTGACTAGGGATTCAAATAAAAGGTGACTTGGAATACCAAAAAATCAATTTTAAGTGGCAACTCTGTAAATAAGATAATCCCTACTCAAATTTGTCACTTCAAATAGAAAAACTCTTTAACCCACAATCCACATTATATATTTTTTTGCGGGGTGGATAGTAAAGGGGTGTGACAACTCTGGCGACTCTGTTAGGGAACAACTATATTCTAGAATTCGAGCTTTTGTGCATTGTTGATTTTTTGGCATTTATTATTTTTGGATACCATGTGTTTATGAGCCTAATGTGCTAATTATCGCTCATTTACTGCTTTGATATTGTTTGAATTGTATATATAAATTATTTTCTCTCGCACCCCATCTAAGTCTTCTAATAAGTAATAGTGTTATGTGTGCTGACCAGCTCCATAAATTTTCTGTCTGAGATAAAGTCAGTATGCAAACCTACTCCTGGTGAAGGATTTAATCACACATGTTTAGGCGGGGAGAACC